AAACTATTATATTCTTTTTAGATTTTTCCTCATAAATGCTGAACGCTTTTGCAGAGAAATATTTAAGCAGAAAGATTTGGAAAAAAGATTTTTAGAAATAGGAAGAAGCAAGTACAGCCTCAGGTGCAGTTCTAAAGAGACAATGGCTTCTCCAAGGCACAGAAACTGGCTCCTCCGAGCCAACAGCTTAAGCGTCATAAAAATTAAAGGATGTGATAGTAACAATGCCCCCGGCAACCACTAAGGAGCCCTCCCTCCCCTCCCCCTCCTTTGCTCCCTGTGAACCAACTTCTCTGTCTACACTTCAGAAGTCTCTGGGAGGTGTGGAGAGATCCTCCATCAGGACGTGGGACATTGTAAGCTGTGAAGTTTATGTTTGTGGCGCCTGGGCTCAAACAGCTATTCAGTGGCTTGCCCTGTTATCAAGAAAACAACAATCAGAAAAGATCAGTAAACAGGCTTGGCTGCCAGCACCCTGAATTAACTTCTTGCATTTTAGTTAAAATTACCGACTCCCATTATTCAATTCACTTGTAGTTGTTTTAAATATTTAAATAATTTAGACTGCTTTACAGAGTACTACATTTTAAATAAAGGCACAAAAAACAATCCCCTCACTCTTTCTCCCAGCCCCCAAAGAAAACTTCCCCTGCCCTGTTGTGATGTAATCTTCAATTGTTGATTAGCAGAGGGACTGTAAATAGTTCTTAATGAATAGAACTCAAGCATAATTTGGATTATAAATCTCCTGTACAAAAGATGACAGAAGTGAACTTTAGAAATATGAAAGTCAAGCCTTTCTGAATAGTTCACTTAGATTAGGGGTGGGATTAAATGCCCTAAGTGGCTGAGTTCCATCCAAATTTAGTTCTTCTTTTGGTCTGACCCCAGATTTAAAACTTTTTGCTTCTTTTTTTGAGAAAAAAGAAAAGGCTAAGTAAATCCACATGGGATTTATAAGAGTTGTATTTCAGTGAGACTGATCTTGTAGCTTAAAAATCCAAGGTGCTAGGGAAATACAAAGTAGGTCTAGGTACCTTGAAAGCACATTGTCTTTTTGGCTGGTAGTCAAAAGGCTAAAACAGACCAGAAAAGAGGTCAACACATGAGTCTAACAAGCTGATCAGGGTAAACAGTGCCAGAACATAACACAAGTCATCTATTTAATCCTCAACTCCAAAAAAGTTGTGAATGGAGAAGTGGGGTCATACATTCACACAGAATCCCAAACAACCAGAAATGTAATAATTCCAATGGAGGGGGGGGGGGAAAGATCTTCCAATATGATTCCAATTTAGGACTCTTTTTAATCTAAGGAAAACCAGATTCATTTGATGAAAAGGAGGGACAGTAGATCAACATAGAAAATGCTATTGTTCTAAAACAATAGGAACATTAAAAAAATTCTGTGTAAAACAGTGTAGATATTGATATGGATTCCCTGATTTAAGGGGAGTGTTCTAGAGGTTTTTAGTTGCATTAAATTTTAGCTTGCAGAAGCTGGAAGAGATGAGTCATAATGTCCAGAAGGAAGAATTGAGAGTACTAAGGGGAGGGAGGATCAAAGATAACAGCAAACAGGAGGGATTTCATTAGAAGAGCAGAGCTCAAAACTTGGTCTCCAGAGGTGTGTGTGTGGGGCGGCGGGGGCAGGAGAGTGTGGGCAAGAAAGGTTTGCAAACAAGAAGACATTTCAGCTACACATCTTAGAGCACATGCTGAGGAGTCTAGAAGGAGAAGGCACACCTTTCACATGAATAATACAAGAACCAGAATGCTATCTATCGACCCATCAATCCATTCTCAGCCATCAGGCAACAAATATCTTGTGAAACCAAATCATTTATCACCCCTCCCCAAATTACTGTACTTAAATTCAAGCTGTGAACTTCAGAATAGACTGACATCTATATATTTAAAACATCAACACACACATACATGCACTTTATCTTAAAAACTAAACGCCAAGATGAAAAAGCATCACAAAGATGCATGCTACACTCAAGTCCCTCCATTGCATTCAAATGGTAAGTAAAGTATTTTTGGTTTTTGTTTTTCTCCCTAAATCTATAGTATACAGTGTTCTCAAAGAGTCCACCAGAGGCTGTGGCTGGAGGAGTTTCAATGGGTACCCCATGGGTAACAGTGTTTGCATGCATTACACCAGTATTAACGTTGGACTTGCCATCCTTGTACATGCTCCTAAGCCCTGCTAGGTACTGTGGTGAGGAGAATGGTGAGGATAAAGACTGAACAGACAGACCAGCAGAAAGAGTGAACAGGAAGCTCCAAGAGTCAAGTCCGGTGGCAAGAGATTAGAGAGGAGGGATTAGGGAGGGAAAAGAAAAATAAAAAGGCCTTTTTCCGGAGAAGATCCGTGTGAGATAAGACATTAAGTCTTGTTTTTCTCAGCAGACAACTACAAGCCATTATTACCGCCGGCCAAATTATTACCCCTCTGTCAAGAATTAGACACAACAATAAAAGTAATCAACGGGCATGTCTAATGCACTGTAACATTTTCAATGCAAAGTTTGTTTTCTCTCTGCCCCCACGTTGGAGCCTGTAATTAACCCGTTATGTAGAACGAGGCCAAACAAAAGCCTAATTGAGGCTCGCTTCCCGATTTGCCGCAGGTTTGGAGCGGGTGAAATAGACGAGAGAGCTGAGGGGCGGCTGGTATCTCCGGATCTCCATCCCCCCCGCTGCGGGCACCCACCCTGCTCCCAGTCAGGGGTCCGAAGGGGTTTGCGCCACAGGACACACGATTAGACTACGTTAGCTTTCGTATTTATTAAGATTTGTCAGATATTTGAAACGGCATTACACTCGCACATACAAATGAACCCAGTTTTCGCAGAATCGGAATATCATCCGGGGGCTGGAGGAAAGAGGAGAGGGGACTGGGTGTAACCCTAAAGCCTAACACCCGGCCCGCAAACCGAGACGCACAGAGACGCCCGACGTTGGCCAAGAATAGGAACGGGCCGTTTATCTATCTGGAGCATCCCTGGGTTCTGGCTCTTTTACATGAACTACTGGTAAATACCAGTAGGAAAAAATGTTTCAGAGACCAAGTCCAACTGACATCGCCATTGAGGGCCTGCACAAGCGAACAAGTCCCCCCCAAACACACCACCACCACGGAGGCAGTTTCCCAGCAGAGCACAAGCCGTGGTCCTCTGCCTGACCAGGCACCTCCCCTAGGTTTTTGAACTGGAGTTGTGGGAGGAGGCAAAATGTGAAGCGGGGGTAGGGGGTGCGGGAGTCAGTGACAAGAGAACACACACTTGCCCAGGAATTGCTGAGAAATCCTCTGGGCCTGTTCCTCCTGCGCAAAGCTAGCGGCATTTCTCAATCAGGCTGACAGCCGCCATTGGTAAACAATGGTCATACCTCACTGGCTAGGCAGAAAGCTTCTCCTTTAGCAACAGCTTATACTTGAAACACGGGCCACTTCGACAATCCTAATCAAGGGACTTTGGTATAAAGCACTTACTCTGAGAAAATAAAATAGGGACTCTGAATCAAAACCTATTCTAAGCAGGTTCCTCTTCCTATTTGGGGGGGGAGGGAGTAAGACACGGCAAGAAAGGAAACAGGGGGAAGGAGCGGCAGAGAGGGCATAGGACAGAGGATTGCATCTCATTTTCAAAAAACTGGTAACAATATCACAGCTTAGTGCTAAGGGCTTCCAAGAAGCTTTGATCCAACTACTGAAACCCAAAATTGCAAGGTGGACCTCAACTACTTGCAATGAAATATCATACCTACTGTATGTCAGTTTATGACCTGATTCACATGCAAGCAATCCTTAATTTCAGATACTTTAACAACTTACTTGTAAACATATAAAAAGAGGGACCCTGGATCATTGCAGTGATTTGATTTATTTATCTATGCCAACTGTTTATTAGTGAAATAGTCCTGAAGATATACTTCTACATATGGCGCTTCAATTTCACATAATATTTATGGAAAAAGACAAAACACATAGAATTAGACATATAATTCAAAGACCACGGTACAACCTTTATCTTTTTTTCTTTACTTCAGCAAACAAAAAATAATGTCAAATGACATGAAAAGTGGCAAGTCTTCTGACAATAAATAATAAATTACTTTATAATTTTTGCAATGCAAGAGCAAAAAAAAAAAAAAAAAGTTTCCTTTTTTTCCTCTTTATTTCCAGAGAGAGAAAACAGTCATTTGAACCAATAACTATACACATCTTTGGGGGAAAAAGTTCTTGGACAGACACAAGTCAAACACAATCCCGAGACGCTTGTGGCAAAATAGAGGTAACCTTGTTGCAATGCTTATAAGTTGGTTTTTAAATCTGAATTCAAAAACCTTTAAAGTTGCTCAGACTTCTTGATAGAGGATGGATCTCAAAAAAAAAAAAAAAAAAGAAAAAGAAAAAGAAAGAAAGGAAGGAAGGAAGAAAGAAAAGAAAAAGAAAAAGAAAAAAGGAGGGAGAGGGGGCAAAAGTCAAAAAGAAACCAGCTACCGGACATGCTAAGAGACCCAGGATTTCAATTAACCCCTTGTTTAGTCAACTGAAAACATCACAAACCAATGTAGTAGCTCCACCTTCTTGAAAAGACTCTTTCAGGCGATGAGGCGGTCTCTCTTCCTGCTCTTTTGCTGGAGCTTCTGTTTGGCAAGGCAATGACCAATATAGGAACAGCACCATTCAGATTAGGATGGACTAGAAAAATCTCTATTTCTGCTTTTCTCTAGATGTGCAGTGAAATGAAAATGATTTTTTTTTTGAGATCCTTGAATATAAATCCTCTACGCTTTTAAAAACATCTTTGTTTTTTCAGTACTCCTAAGGTCACTGGATAGCGTATGTTGGGTTTTAGGTTTTGTTTGCTGTTTGTTTTAATTCTAGTAAAATCCCATGATTGTCTTCACAGTGTTGCTACCATATCACCTTGTCATTAAAACAGACTTCGTGCATTTCATGGAGCATTCATTTCTCGATTCAGTTTTCATTGACTGGGTCGTTAAATACTTTTGTTTCAGAGTTCAACATTATTTCCCACTTTCTCCAACAGGGAAAAAATACATCTAAATGAATGTTCCTCATGCCTCAATAGGACTGGCTACCATGCTGTTAGGTGTATCTGGGAGTTGAGAGGACATCGATGCCACTTCACTGCCAGTGGAATTAGAGCCTGGTCCTCCTTCTGAAAAATTGACCTGCATGGAAGGTTGAGAAATGAGTAGAGGAGGCTGTAATTGTGTTCATGAAAGGATTATAAACTTGTCTTATGTGTGCCTGTTTAGACAGATATAGATCAACATATCTAACTGGATTTTTAACAGGCTTAATTCAACAAAGCCTAAGAGAGAATAATTTGGGAAGGAATCTTCTCACTTTCTTATCTTCTAAGAGATCTGTTTTACTCAAACTGAATACTCAACATTATGTTGCATTAAATTATTTAAGATCCCACTGTAAAACGGCATGACAATTCTACCTTGCATGCTTGAAATAAAATTATCCTGCCAGCTACATGTTGCCCTGGGAGCAGGCAAGTTTTTGGTCTCTAGGTATCAAAGCTATCTTCCTGAGTTGGGGAATCCATAACTCAAGCTTGGAGCTTGGATTGTGTGGTGTGCCAGGCAAGTCAAAGGCGGCTCCACAGAACAATGATTAATTCCTCAGAGGGCTCACATCCTGGGCTTTTGTCCTTGTTGTTGGTTCTGTTGACTCCTGGCCTTTCTCTGGCTCTCTGTTTAAATCAGGTTCTTCCTTCCAAGAAGAGGCCCATATATTATAATATCATCGCATTATAGATATCTGGCTCCCTCTTTTAAGCAAAAAAGTACTGCTGTTACAAACCGTCTCCTCTGCTGTGTTCTACCACTTCTCTTCTTCTGTTTTCACATGACACTAAAGTTTCAGAAGATGCAAATACATGACTGTCCTGAGCCCTCTCCTCACTATTCTTCTATAATCCAGGTTTTGCGCAAATAACTTCAGGTTGACCTGACTTTAAAATAAACCACATAGTTTTCTTTCCTAGATATAGGGTCTACCTTCTTTCTTTTTTTTCCCCTTATTAACCAATTTTCCCATTGTGAAGTCAAAGGACTTCTCAAATCTGCCTCACCTCTAGACTGGTCTACTTATAAACCTAAACTTGGGGCCCAGCCCTTTTACCCAGTTGCCCCTGGCTACTAATGCCCTCCTGGTAATTACGAATGGGAAAAGCTAAACTCAATCTCTCCTCTAAATGTTCATTTCCAAAGGAAGGAGCACTTTTGTGGAATAGATCTTCATGTTTTATAGAACAGAGTTCTACAGGGGATGTTTATTTCTTAAGAAAAAAAAAATGTATGTGCACAGTATAGGTACAGGATATTACAAAGAATGTATATTTAATATTTTTATTCATCTTGACCTTTTAACCTTTTGTTAGGCAAAAAGGTGGTTTAGTTTTCTCTAATGTTTAAGGCATTAATACTAGAACAGATTTTCACAGATTAAATAAACACTTTGTCTGAGTGGCAGATCTCATACTCCTTTGGCATGTAGTGACTGTACATGACATTTGAACTCATATATTGAAAAGTGCTCCAGCAGTCCTATATTTTAGATTAAGATATTCCTAGAAAGAGTTAATAGAGAAAAAATATCAATCATCTATTTGAAGAATTGAATTCTTTGTGGATATATTTGAAAATTGCACCCAGCTAGGGGCTTGCTGCCTTTTGATAATACCACTGAATATGTACTGCAGTCATATTCAGTCATATTCAGGATTTGAAGCTTTAAACACACCATTCTTTAGGAGGGAGTTAGTTTACTAATTGCTGGTCAGAATACCAAGGTGATTTCTAAAGTCATTTCCAACTCTTAAAAATCTAAATGCATGATTTTGCAACACTGTCCATCTCTCCACTCCTCTAATCATCTAATTAGGCACCTTGAAGTTAGGTCCTCAAAGCAGGCCTGAGTGATAGTAAATTCAACTTGTATGGTCCAAGGATGCAGTCTCATAGAAAAGACTCAAATAGGTGCGTCTCCCTTGCCCTTGCCGCTCCCCTCTTCACCACACCTCCAACCTCTCTCCCCAACCCTGAGGCAAGGGCTGACACCCCACCCCCCAATCTTTCATTTTATGGCCCCAAACCAGAATCACCTTTCATTGTGAATTCAGCCGACTCAGTCTGGGAGCTGACACTTACCAGTTGCTGAAAAGCAGGCTGATCTATGTCACTCTGCAAGGCGAAGTCACTCAGTACTTTCCAAGGTGGCTGGTAACTTTGCACCTCCACTGGGTTAGCCTGTAAGCCACCATCATGTCTCTCTGGACTGGCAGCCACCATGGGAGTTCCTGTCATCCCCTGGATATTCTGTGAACAGGCCCCCCCCCACACCAAGTCCAACATGTTAATGAGCAAACTCCCTCCCTCCATTGTCTGCACAGGCTAAGCAAATAGACTCAGGTATTATCTTATCTATATAGTGGCCTTTATTGACTCAGTTAATCTGCTGCACCTATGGATATTAGCTAGAGTTCAGTTTTGTTTTATTGTGTGTTGTTTTTCTGCTTCCAGGGGCTGGAGAAATAGGTCTGCTTGGACCTTATTAAGCCATATTTACAACGGTTTTCTTCTTTTTCCTTACATTGACAGCTCATCCTGTTTCCCACTTTCCACCTTTCCAGGCCAGAGCATCCCAGAAGTAGAAAGCTGAGGTAGGCTGTGCTTCCCTTCAGCTTCTAGACTGGTGGCTGCCTGAGCAGTTCAAGCTGCCCCATCACCAGCCCCGCTCTCAGCTGACCCTCCTCTACCTCAGCATTTGGGTCTGGCTGCTATTTTGCTTATTATGCACTAACCAACTTAGAAGTGCCCTGGCCCAGTCCTGGCAGGCCTGCCAAGTTTAATGACAGCTAGTTTTATGACATTTGAAAATAAGGCTGAAGCAGTAAAAAGCAAAAGGAAAAAAAAAAAAAAAAAAAAACCTCTTTAACTTCATTTAACCACGAGGCCTGAGGGGTGGATGCTGCTGTGGGCCTAGAATGATAGTGTGAGGAGCCTGACCCCTCTAGGAAGGCTGAGCTTGACTTCGAAGGGAGGGTGCTCTATTCTAGCACGAAGGGGACCAGGGAGGCCTGGGGGTGCAGCCGCTGACGGCAGCCCCCAAGGGGCCTACCCACCAAACCCGGGATCTAGACTGGAACCCAAGCGTGTTCCTTCTTTCCTCTCCGGTGCTGTGTGTGCATGAAGGGATGTCGATCTGAACTTTGGGAAAAGTGGGGCCAGGCCTGGTTGAGAAGGGGAACAACCGGTCCTTCCGGTTCAGGAGTGCAGGCCAGATCTGAGAAGGGCCAGAGCCAGAGAAGGGGGGGGGGGGAGTGAGTGCAGCTGCTCCAACCATGCGAGAGTCCCCTGTGACCTGGTGGGCCATGGGTGGGCAGCCTGGTGCTGGTGGAATCTTCTATCAAGGGAATGGGTGGGGTGGAGGTGGGTGTGGGCAACCGCCGGAAGGTTTCTTGCTCCCAAGCAGGATCTAAAACAACGCACCAGTAAGGCTGGGCACTGGGCGCACCCCATTCCTGCTGGGGGTCCTTCCTCCCCGCTCCCTACCCGGGCCCCCAGGCCACTCACAGTTTTGTCATTGGGCTGCTGCTGCTGGAGCTGCTTCATCATGATGCTCCGCTTCTTGTCTTTGCACCGCTTGTTTTGAAACCAAACCCGGATCACGCGAGGACTGAGGCCGGTCATCTCCACTAGTTGCTCCTTCATGAGTGCGTCGGGCCGTGGGTTGGCGGCGTAGCAGGTCCGCAAGGTGTGCAACTGCTTCTCGTTCAGCACAGTCCGCACGCGGGTGGTCTTCTCCGGTTGTTTGTGGACGTGCGGCCGCAAGGCCGGCTGCCTCGCGGAGATGGGCTCGGCTGCGCGGCAAGGGGCGCTGTGAGCACAGGCCGGCCACCCGCCCACCACCCGCCGCGCCCGGACAATGGCAGCGCTTTGCAGCCTCCCCTGAAGAAGCAGGGGGCGGCAGAGGGGAAGAAGGGGGACGAATGGGAGAATAAAAATCTCCCACTTTAATCTGCCGAGGTCAGTGCTGACTAATCTGGGCCCAGGATGCTGCCCACGCCCCTGCTTTTTTCAGCTCAACGAAGTAGCACGTCTGGTCAGTCCCCCAGTTCCAAGCGGCAGCGAAACAGCAGTAGTAGCGGTATTGGCAGCAGCATTTTCAGCACTGTTTTTCCTCAAACCAGACCCTGCCCAGGTCACACTTTGGGGGAAGGCTCTGGAGGGTAGCAGGAAACGCAATACGCGTATGCCAGTGTGTCTGAGCCACTACACTAGCTTGAGATTTCTACCACGGGAAGGCGGGCAATCCTGCCAGAAAGCCTTGAACTTCTGTCTGAGAGAACAGTCGTGTCAAGGGGCTAATGAAATTCAGTAATTTGGCTACCTTTCCAGTCCCTGGTCTTTTTTAGTAATAAATCTATGCAGATGGTGTAAAGCAAAGGAAAATTGTAAGTCTAATGAGCTCTTTAGGCTCCAGATAAACGCCTGTTGAAAAGTATCCTGAGTCTGCCCCCAACTCTCCTACCCCTACCCCTATTTCTGTCTTCTGTGTGTTTCCCCCAAGCAGGATGCGGCTCTACACGGCCTGTACAGGACAGGAGTTGCCACCTCAGACTCATCCTTGTGCAAGCTGGTCACAAATCCCCTAGGAAAAAGTTCATACAGCTGCCAGGAAGCTGATGGGGAGAGTTCGGTTTCCTCAGCTCCGGTGTTCAGTGAGAGTGATACCTAACCACTACATAGGGCAGATCTATTCAGCCCTGGAGACTGGCTGGGAACCATGCCTTCTTAACCATGGTCTCAGTGGTGGCCAAGTTTGCTCTGTTTCCTCTCCCTGTCTTGGGGAAAGGTCCTCCATCTGTAAGGTACAAATCCTGCACCTTTCAGGATCTTCCACAGCCAGGTCAACACCAACGAGGTCAATTCAGAGTTACATGGACAGGCCCGAAGATGAAATTCTCACCAAATCACACAGAATAAATGGCTTAAAAAGGCAGGTTCCCTTTAAAAACCAATTACTGCAGATTAGCTTGTTGACAGTCTTAAATTACAGCTCTGCGTAGTAGCCTGCAGTTACTGAGGCTATTTTTTTCAGGCCAGGTTATTTCACAAAAAAAGATAAAAATAAAATTTAAAAATGTTTTGGGATGTGGAATAATTCTAAGCGGAAAAAGGATTTGGGAGGCTAAATGACTTAAGGCCACCTAAGCTTCCTGCATTGGGTTAAAGGAGGAAGTTCCAGGGGCCCACGGCTCCACCCCTTTAATTAGGCAGCAGAATGGAGAATACCTGGAGGAGCGGTGAAGCTCTTTTTCAATAAGCCATTTTTCGGAGGCCAAGATAAACTGGAAGTACTGTTTGGGCGTGCGTATACATGTGTGTACAAGTGGTGTGCATTTATGTGTACCCATATATAGACAAAGAAGTGTAGGTGTACTGGGGAAGTCAAGGGACACAGAAGTGCACTGAACCCTGCTGCAAAAGGCGAAGAGCAGTGCAAACAGCCTCCAGAACACTTCATTTAACTGCTGGCCGCTGCCTCCACCGTTGCTGCGGCGGCTGCCCTGTGGCTACCAGCGCTGCTGCGGCCGCCAGTGGGGAGGCAGGGGCGGTGCTGGCCTAACCCGGAGCCCGCCTCCCAGCGCCGTGCCTCCATCAGGGCCGAAGAGTACCTGCCATTTGCAGCGGCCGCGCCGGGTGCAGGGGACTGAGCGGGTCACCGGCGCCCAGGCTGGCCCTCTCCACCACGTCGTGGTCCGCGCGGCAGAAGAGCCCATCCTCCCGCAGCGCGAACTCATCCCCAGGAATGAGCTGGCGGCTGCAGGCCACGCAGCGGAAACACTCGATGTGGTACACCTTGGAGCGGGCGCGCATCACAAAGTCGTTCTTGCTGAAGCCGATGCTGCACTTGGCGCATTTGATCCCGTACAACCTGTGCGGGGGTCGGGCCCAGAGCGGGAAGAGAAGCACAGGAGAGGGGTCACTTCAGGCAGGCACTGCTGTGGCCCAAGATCGCTGGCGTCCTAGGCCGCCAAGCGTTGAGACACTGAGCACAGCATTAGCAAACAGAAGCTGGACATGGTGGGCGGGAGGAATCGACGTGATCGGGTTTCTTTCCCTCTCTACGTTTTTCCGCTTCTCCATCCTTCTCTTCCTTTCTTTTACTACCTCTTCGTTGAGATGAACCTCTGTGTCTTAGGCAATACCTCTTAGTTCAGAACACCTTGCCCCAAACCAGGAAAATGTATCAATTGATCCGAAAGCCAGACCGTCGCACTAGAGAACAGTCCCGGGACTGCCCACCCAGCTCTTAGTAGGAGTCCAGGGGGACTGCGCGGCCACTGGGTCCACTCTCCCCTCACCCCATCTCCCAATTTCTGCTGCTACAAATGTCTCTGGAGCTGCAGCAAAAAGTCCTTCTTCCAAGGAAACAAAGAGAGGTGGGGAATATGATTGTCACCCCACTCGGTTTGCAAACACAAATAGGCAAACTCCGTAACAGAAAATGAAACCTCTCAGGGTTTCCAGATCCCTTTCTGCAAAACAAGCACATTCTGGTTTTTCCCCAACTAAGGATTTTTCCTCAGGCAGCAAAGCTAAGGGAACGTTTCCTCTCCACGTCTCCTCTTATTTATTTATTTATTTATGTTAAAAATCTGCCTCTGCTCCTTAATCTTATTCAAGTCGCTGGATCATCTACCTCAATTTCAGTGTGCTTTAGAACCTCCACCAGCCTGAAAAACGAAAAACTCTCTTTCTGAGGGTTCTTCCTCACTGTTGATCTTTCCTCACCAAGGCACAACAACGCTTGTAGGTTCCATCTAGTCTGCACTGCCCCGGCCCCTCTCCTCTGTGGTTCACAACAGAAGAGGGAGGCACTCCTGCAAAAAAGAAAGACTGGCAGAGAGAAGAGGAGACTGGGGGTGGAAGGACCCCCACCCCAGATGCAAGTCACCGGGAAACTAAACGGTCTAATCTTGCTCTTACAACTACAGAATTTCAAAGGGTCACATAACCCCGCTTCCGCAACAACAACACAGAGTGGAGAAAGTAAAAAGGCGTGTGTCTTTCTAAAAAGTGTGTATCCAGAATTAGACATGCAGGTCTGTGGGCAATTGGGCAAAACACACAGGAGTAAAGATACTCAGGGAGGTGCAAAGTGAGCTCTCCCTCTCCAGAATCTAGAGTTCACACACCGATCAGGTAAACACTGAAATTGGGCTGTTTGTCAGAGGTTAGAAGGTAGATTCAGAAGTTTTCCCTCCCTCCTCCTACTCCATGTGGGATCTTCCATTTCATAGGATGAGGACTTGACTTTGCCTGTGACCAAACAATTTGGAAAATCCCACCCCTCCTCCCTTATGTACCTCAACTCCCCTACTTCCTCCCACTCTTCTACGTCCCTCCCAAGAATTTTAAAAGCTTTACCTACACTGCTCGATTTTGTCTATGAAGGTTATAGTCTCCACTTCATGATTTTGAAGTAAGACGTAAAGATGCTGGATATTGAATGATCATGAGAAAATGGTGACTGCATATTTAAATATTGGCTAAAGTTTAATCCAGGTTCCCAGATACATAAGTCCTGATTTACAGAAGCCAATGGCTTGTTCATAGTAACTGGAGACTTTTAAAAATAATATTTTGTTATAATTTATCATAAATAATAACAAAAGTACCATCTCCTCTGTTATTAAAACATATATATTACAGATATATTAGAAATTCCACTAGTTTCCTAGGACAGAGGAAGTAACTGACATATGTACACAGGTCAGAGAAAACTTTAGGTTTGCATAGCCTGAAATTTAGATGTAGAATAATGTTTTTTTTAAAAAAAGTTCCTACATGGTTTTTAAGTCTTGTCAGTATGGGCAATTCACTCATTTTATCAGTTACCAGATTTTTATGTGAGAAAGGAAGCTGTTCAATTATCTAAATATACCAATTGTTCGTAGACAGATGATGGGCAATTCGATCTGCTCAGTCTAATTCATCAGCTCAGATAAGATAAGAAAGAAAAGACAGTCAGATGTCACCAAAGGGTTAATATTTAAAAAGATTAAATTTCCGGTCTTTTTGTAGGGGATATTTGGGTTCTTTCTTTCTATTTTTTTTTTTTTTTTAAATTTCCCAGGAAGGAGTTTTACAAAAGTAAAAGGGGTAGTGAGTGCTTCTACTTGCTATTTCAAATGTTTAGGTCAAACCTCTATTACACCTATTGCATTTATACTTCTAAAGAACTGGAAAATTACTAATAAAATGCAAACATAAAACACTGAACTGTACAATAAAAATGGATCTTTCTTAAAAGTTTAGAAACCCAAACTTATCCATCCTTTGGAAAACAAATTTGCAAGAGGAAGGGGGGAAGGAGAAAACAATTTGAAAATCGTACATTCTAAGAATAATTAAGCAAGCCACACAATTTGTGAAAAACCACTGAGAGTAGCCCCCCCCCCCAAAGTTAAATGAAGAGCACAGTTTAATGTATGGAACACCCAGCGTAACTTTTGCACGCTAAGTCACTAAGGTAAACTTTGCAAACAGACAAAGGCACACTAAATAATAAATAAGGGGGTGGGAGAGATGGGGAAATCTTACAAAATTAAGGAAGCAGTATAAATGGCGTACCTGATATAATCTCTTTTACAGTAGGTTTTTCCATCCCTAACAAAGCACGTACAGCTCTCGTCCAAATACTGATTACACTCCGCACATTTCAAACATGCCGCATGCCATTCCAAATCCGGAGAAACCCTCAGAATATACTGATCGTGAATTTGATTGCCGCAACCAACACATAGGGAAATCAGACGTTTTTCTGAAATGAAAATAAATACATGATTGACTAACCGTTTACTTCCTACAGAGATAAACACACTTTTAGTGTCGTTCTCTCATAGGGCGTACTCTGTGAGGTTTTCTCCCCCCCCCCTTTTTTTTAAAGAGTATTGCACTTTGGGATGGTAATTGAAGTGTGCCATCAAAACCTTGACTCATTTTAAAAAGGAGGTGGAATATATGTAAAATGCCGATTTGAATACTCTACATTTGTAAGCCTAGCACGCAATCAAACCCGCTCATTTTGTATTTCTTTATCCCCCTCCTCTCTCTTTGCCATAATCATTGGGAAAGATTATGGATAAGTCAAGTCAAAGAAAAGGGTTTTGACTAGCAGTCTTAAGTGAACGCAGGGATGTCTATATTTTCCATGAAGCACGCTCTTAAATAGCACATTGGACTGGATATTGTTAGCAAGAGCAGACATCAATACAGTTGTCACTCGTTCTCTAATGCTAACTCGCATCTCCGGGTATTGTATGTGCAGGCAGTCCTTTGCAACATAATAACCTTTTCCGAGAACTCTGGATTCCCTAGGAGGAAACCACCGCTTAGCACCAGAGGCTAGGGTTTTGGAGGGCACACAGGCGAATTCAAACACAAGGTACGATCAGTTTCCCGAAGATCAGAACCGACAGCAAGCATGCAGGCGTGGCGGCAACAAGAAAAAGCCACCTCTTCTCTCTCTCCACGCAACGACTGCAACTCCGAAGAGCTCTTGGCAGCAGTGCCTGAGAGAGACCCCCGCACAAGAACAGCACACCGAGCCCCACAAGGTAAAATAGCCTCTTACTTTTTGGTGGATCTCCCATGTCTCCCATATCTGTAAGAGGGAGTAATGTCCACAGTGAAATGGTGGTTGTACTGTTGGTGAACAGCCCAGAGAGAGGAGGCTGGAGCTGTGGCTAAGTGGGAAATAGTGGCCCCTGGGGTTGCCAAAGCTGAGAGAGCCGCTGCCGGGCTGCGCCGCGCCCTCGCGGATCGGGGAGTCCAATTTAAGCCGGCGGAGTTGGCGGAGCAGAGGCGCTGCGGCGGCGGCGGACTCGGAGCGGCTCGGGCACCTCTCTTCCTTATCTCTTACTCAAACTTCTCTGCTCCAACTCAGCTCCATCGCCATTGGTCTGACGCAGCGCGCGGGGACGTCAGGCGAGCGCCTCGCCCATTGGCTGCGGGGCGCGCGGCGCAGCTGTTCTGATTATCATATTTCAGCCTCGCCGCTGCCGTGCGCCACTGACCGCTCTGCGAGCCCGAGGGAGAGGATTAGGGCTCCTGAGGCAACTTGTTCGGGGCTCAGGCCGCTCTCCCGCGGTTCTCCGGCTCCCGGGCCACTCGGGGTTTTGGCCTGCCTCACCGTTTTTTTCCTTTCCTCCTCCCTCTTCCCCCTCCCTCCCTCCTTCCGGACGGTGCAGCCAGCGCCTTTGCCTCTTCCCTTTCCTCCACCGCCCTGCGCTCCCGGGGTCCCCGCAGTCCGGCTAGCCTTGGTGCGCGCGGCGCTCACTTTTCTGCCGCTGGTGGCGAGTGGCTGGTGGGTATGTCTTCCAGTTGACGAGGTTTTTCTAGCAAAGGAGGGACGCGGACCAGGCCGTTCGGCTCGATTTAGTTCCGCGCTTTGACGCACACCCCCGGGCCTGGCCTGGCGAGACTGCTGGGAGGGTGAGTTCCCAAACTGGCAGCGCGCGGCGCGCTGGGAGCTGCTAAGGGAAGAAGAATCGGGAATGGGGATGATTAAACCCAAAGGAATTGTTCGCTGCCTGCTACCCTTCTACCCCTTCATCCCTGACCTGAGGACCTCAGGTCCCCAAAAACGTGGGGTAGGAGAAAAGGGACGCTTCTTGCCTTAGCGGAGAATGAGGTTGGAAACGGCATAGGTAAATTCAGGTTAACTCTGCTGACTGCCTCTCTTTCCTTCTTTCTGCGGGGTGTGCTTTTCAGTTTAGCTCCAGAATTAGGAAGCTCACTAACCCTAAGTGAAAGAGTGAAGTGATCTTCCATTTGTCTCACGTTTGCGAAAGGACTCTATCATGTCCAGTTCCTCTCCCCGCTGATCTCTTGCCCTTTGTTTTTAAGCCATTAGTTGGTGGTGTTTTGATAAATACAAGGACAAATCTTCATGTCTCTTGTTAGAGATTTTTAAAAGTGTATTAGTTTAAGTAGTTGAGTAGGTAAGGAGTCTAAACCAGTGACAGAACAGGAAAGAAAGTGCAATACCTGTTTCTTTTCACCGGGTGTGGATGTCCGATCATTTTCTCCCGGGAAACTACCGGGAGAGAGAAGATTGTTCTCTGCAACTCGCTGGTAATCCTTTTTTCAATAATTTCCTTACATGTTCCCATCATCTAGTACAGTCTCCCAAAGACAAAGTGACAAGAAGCCCACGAAGTACGCCCACACCTCTTGCAGAGCTTCTAAGTAGTTGCCCCATATCTAAGGTCACCGACAGTTTTATCTAAAAAGGACCACAAACCCAAGCCATAGAAGGCTGAACTTCAGTGTCTTGTTGCCGCGAAAAAGCCCAGTGTGTTAGGAAACTCTTCTTTGTATCTTTTGCTAGATCTAACCCTTAATGAGGTGTGTGTGTGTGTGTCTGTCCACCCCCCCCCCCCCCCCACCCCGCCTCAGTGACTTTGTTTGAACCGATATTCCAGAAAGCCAAGAGAAGCTAAAATGCATGAGTTTTCTTGTGACCTAGTTGGGCCTTTCTAAAAATTCTTGTCTGTTTTATTTGCTTTTTTTCTCTCAAGGAAGACTTCTTAACTGAATCTCATAGCTTCCATTTTTATCATGTTATTTCAGAGTGCTGGTGTGAAATCGAAAGTTACGTAGACACAAGATGAAAAATTGACCATTTGCTTTTATGCTTTGTCTCAGTTTCTAGTCTTTGGCCTTATATGCATGAAACTTTTTGTCATGCTGCTTTTGCAAAGCTGATACTGATAACAGCATGAAGTCTTCCTACTAAATGGACATGTTTCCCATATAGATAACCAAGTTGACCGTAGTAAAAATACATACCATTACAACGCAAGAAGGTAATACAGGATTTTAACCAATCATATTCCATCATCCCACCTTTATAACATGGAATTTAATACCAGAAGCTGCAAAAGCTTGATGAGTTATATTTGAGATTAACAAAGTATCTTCACTATCCATTTCCTCCAAACCACAAACAAACACAGTATGGTATTTTAACCCCCTAAACCAGTGAACTAGTTCAGAGAATTATTGCCAGTGGTAGCAATTCCAAATAGACAAACTGGCATGTGATTTGGGGAAAAACCTTTAGTAATTAGTTTTACCCTAATGGTAAAGAAAATACATTTTCCTGTTTCCAGCGCACACCCGTTGTAAACATACATTCCCCAAGTAAGTCCCTAAGCTGACAGAGGCAAATATAGGTGCAGAAAATCCTCCCTCCCTCCACCATGGGAGAAATTTGAGAGAACTTTATAAATGTGCTCTTCTATGATGAAGGTGCTGTGGGGTTCTGTGTGGCTACTGCTAATATATTTTACATTAAAATTAGGATAGTGTCATTGCTTTACTTCACTTGGAAGTTCAAGTAGATCACTAATTATTCCCTCTTTTCTTAGCTGATTGCTAAATGTGGATTTACTGCATTAAATACATACCTTAAGAAAATTATTTGTATAGAATACATGAAGCTGTGATTAGCAATAAACACCCCCACCCCCAGTACTTGATCACAGGAGCGACCTCTTGTGTTCAAAGGGAGGATTAGATCCTCTCCTGACAAATACAGACTCATATTTTGACCTTTGTATATTCTGTTAGGTCAAAAAATTATCCTTCAACATAGCAGACATGTGAATCCCCTGGTGTGAGCTCTTCTGGTGAAGAGACAAAAAGAAGAATATGAATAGTTAGTAATCTCTATCACCTCCAAGCCACCCAACACACCTTACAGTGTTGTTGAATAGAAGAGCCAGGATGACTTAATATATTACATTTCGAGTGTGTGGCACCTGCCCACATGACTTATACAGACCTTCCCAAGATGCAGTTGTTACACCTAAGCTTCTTGGTGGTCTCTTTGGCTGCATTTTTGTGTGCTGTTGCTTTCTTCCTCTGCTTTAATTAAAACATTGCACGTCAGAGTGAATGTCAGATACAGATTCCTGAAAAACTGACTCAAAAGCTGCTTTTCAAAAATTTAAATAGGTCTTAGTTATAATTTAAAATGAAAGTACACATTTAATATTTGCTTCCCAACAAACTCTGGAAGAGATAAGTCAATTTTAAGTTGCTTCTTGGGGAAATTAAGTGAGAAACCTATCTCTTCCCAAAATAACCAAGATTGGGAAGGAAAGACTTTGATTAGCTGTCTCTGAGCTATGGATTTGCTTACTTTCACGGATATTATTCCTAGGGAGGTGATGCTCTATATCTATCCCATATCAGAATCAGGTTTGGAAGAGAATAATTGGGATGCCAGTTTCAGTGAACAAGGTATTCAGATTGAAAAAAAAAAAAAAGGGTGGGCATTTATATTTTCTGATATCCACAAGCACCTAATTTGAGCCAAAATGATAACTGTGTATTCACCTCTGCAATGGGATCCAAATTATGCTTGTGTATTCTATTCCTCTTGCTTTTTTTTTTTTCTGTGCAGTCTTTAGTCTTGAGGAATAAGGCATGCAAACCTTCAGTATCTTTCATCATGTGCAAGGGTCAAAAATATATGCATTTAAAGGGAGGCATGCTTAACCCTTTGTATTCCATCAGGAACGGGCTATGAGTCTTCGTAAAACTGCCTCTATTCCAGTTGGTGGTGGTGGCTTGAGGATGTGAAGAAAATCTACGCGCTAATTTCATTGAAAAAGGTTTCTCTCCCTGCACAGTTGAGTATGAAATGATTATCTCCTTCATTTTTCTTTTTTTCCCCCCTCAAATGCTAAGCAATGATAATAAAGGCAGTTTTTAACAACAAAGCTTTAGTTGTGGTTCTCATTTTATTGCCTAGAACTCCTGCTGCGAATGTGGTTTTTGTTGAGTGTCAATTGCTTTATTAACCAGTTAAAACAATCTGGGTAAATTAGCAAGAATTTTCTCCTGCATACAAAGCTTCCCAGGCTGCGTTTCTGCATTCAGATAGTTGTTTCTGTCACCAGCGCTCTTAGTATGCTTTCTAGGCTAACGGCAGCCCGGCGGCAGCGTTCACTGCGGTCTGTTGTTGGGTTCTCAGCCGAGATAGAATTCGCGGCAGCGGCTAAGCCGCAAACCTCCCTGCAGTTCTGAGATCCCGTGTTTCCGCAGCTCATGGCCGGGAGCAGTTCGGCTAAGCGAGGGCAGAAATTTGCACTCTACCTTTAAAATTGTTTTTGTGAAAGTATTCACCATGATTTCTCAAAAGCAGTTGGCAATGTTAGGTTAAACCTTTTCGTTCCTTTTTCTATTTTTTTGTTTTTCTTTTGGAAAACAAAGTGGAACTAGGGTTTTTTTTTTTTTTTTTTTAAACCACATGGAGTTCCGCGTGGATGCACCGAACCATCCACTGGGCAAAACCTTCATTAAATGTATCGGATACTCGCTGGGGTGGCTGAACTCAGAGGCCAACGGACTCTATCGCCCAAGGTCTCGGCAGTTGCACTGCATCCAGTCCTGCAAAACATCGCGCCACCTGAGCTCTTGGGAACCCCGGAGCAAGTTAACAACTCTGTGGAGTTGATCGAATGACATTCTTTGTGAAATAAGCGACTCTTTTTTTTCCACTGCAATCCTGTCCCATGGACAGCTCTGAATTTAGCGCGAGGGGTTGATTTCCACCGCCAGTTAGAGGTTTACTGGGGACTAGCGGGGGAGGGGAGGCGAAGGTACCTTTGAGGAGGTCAAGAGGGGGAGGAGGAGGAGCAGCAGAAAATTACCAGCCAAGCAGGGGAGGGAGTTGGAAGCCCGGAAATCCACCGCGATGCCTCAAATAACCTACTCTAAAGTCTCGAAAAACAGACTGCTATTAAGAGTCCAGGGCTGGAGTTCTCGGGTGGGCTGCGGAGTAGATGTCAAGAGTTATAGCCACTTTCTATGAATTCAACTGGTAGCTAAAGCGAATCGTAGCTGCTTAGAGTA